CTACTGTTGGGGGGAGGGGGGGCAAAGGACACTACAGTGAGGGGGGGGTGATGAAAAGGGGGTAGTGGACACTGCATTGGGCGGTGATGTTAAGGGGAACAGAGGACACTACTGTGGGGGTTGATGCATTCTTTTTTTCTTTGTTTTTGTTTTTTAAGGGTGCTGCCTAGTAAATCCCCCCTTCCAGGGGATCTTTGCTTTACGCCATGTTCTCCAGGTAGACCTCAATCTCCGAAAGGTTACCTACCGCTGATTTACATTATGTCCACAAAAAGGATGCAGGCCTTTTCTGTTTCTTCTGCAAACATTGACTGATTTGGATGCAAACGGATGTAAACAGATATTCCTCCATTTACATCCATCTGCCCAAAAACATACATTGTGGTTCAGTCTGGAGCCAGATAAAAAACTGATAGATCCAGACTGAACGCCATGTGAATGGGTCCTAGATCTTCAGGCAGCACTCCAGTTAAGAACTGTATTTAGCATCCCAAAACTGCAGCTGAAGCGTGGTTTAAGGCCAGGTTCATATGTATGTGGCCAGCGATTTGCGCGGACACGAGAGCGCATTCATTAGAATGGTCTCCCATGCCCCGTAACACGCAGGGAGGAAGTCCCTGCACTTCTTCGGAAATCGCAGCACGCACGGGAACCGAGGTTCCCGGTAAAGTTGCGATTTCCAGTGCGGGCAGCGTGCCACTAGAATAATGGCACCCGCATTCATCTGTGTGGGTGGTGCGGCTGCAGGTATCTGTGCGGGTCCCGCAGCGGCACCACCCGCACAAATGTGAACCAAGTCTAAAGGTTTCAATAAAGCGGCCTGAAACCTGAAACAAATATTTAGTGAAAGTTTGCTGTACACCATATTGGTTGATGCACTTGTGTTTAAGGTCCATGTTTGTTCTTGTATGTGACAAGGGTACTTGGTTTAAATGATGCTATCGGAACTTACCAAATGTCACATGTGTTTTTTAATATGTTTGGCAATAACTTGATAAAGCTAGCTGTGTAACCCATTTCTTCAAAAGCATACAAAAGTCAAGAATAAATGCTTCTTGAATGCTTCCCAAAAGCCTGTTCAGCATTTGGGAAGCTTACCCATGAACTTCTATTATGTGTGCCACGAAGTGGCCATAGGCTACAACACAAGTCGAACATTGCTTGCAGAATCTAAACCAAGCAGAGCAGGCAGAAGGAAGGTTTGCAAGATTTAAGAGTATGTAAAATATTTACCCCCGGATGACTTAGAAGCCCTATTACGTGAAGATGGCCTAGCTAAGCCTTTGGTTTACAAGGCTTTCTTGCCATCAGTTCATGCTGGTTCCGAGTCCTTGCAATCAAAGTGGTGGGTGGAGGTGCCAGAATTGGATAAAGAAGATTAGGAGGATGTTTGGGACTGCCACTTTACTCACTTGGTAGGTACAAGGGATAGCCTAATACAATTGAACAATTTATATGGCCTACCTTACACCACAGTGCCTCCATAGAAAGTCTCCCACAACAGAACCGAATTGTTGGAGGTGTGGGGATGCACCTGCAGACTTTCTCATGCGTTTTGGTCCTGTCCTTGCATACACATTTTGGATTCATGTCCTCCAATCATTTGTTCATTTACTAAAATTCCTCCCCCCCCCCCCCCCAACGGTGGCCATTTGTCTCCTAGGCCTGGTTAACCAACTAGAATTTTCTCAAATACTTCTAAGCTTACTACTGTTTTATGCTAGGAAAGCCATTGTGTTAGCATAGAAATCAGACAGACCCCCCACCTTGGAATGTTGAAAGAAATTAGTTAATGTAGTAGTTCCTCTTTACAAAATGACATATCTTTCTCACAGCTGTACTAAAAAATGTTCATAAAGTTTGAGAATGCTATCTCGAATTCCTCTCTACTACTAATGCCAGAGATGACACTGTGACTATTTGAATTGAAGTTAAATGTATCTTAAGTACCTCTGTACAGGAGGGGGTTCTGTAGGGGTAGACTGGAATCAGTCCCCTCTCATGTCTCTTCTCTATTTTACCCTTTATCTCCCTTGGGGGTAAAATTGCACTATGCTTGTATTGTTATTGCTTGGTTTCTTTGACCATTGTGCTCCAATATGTGCCTAACCTTTGTTATGATGCTAATTTTTTATGTACTGTATGCTTATCCTCATATGTAGTAGTGTTGTATATCTTCAGCCAGCTCTCTTTTGTAATTTGCTATTATTTAAAAACCAATAAATACAATTTATGAAAAAAAAAAAGCATGTAAAGTTGCAACTTTTTAAAATTTTGGATAGAATAAGTAGATCTTCTTTCGGGTTTTTATTGCTGTCTATGTCCTGGAAAAATTCACTCTCTCTACCACTGTCACTGGGACTGAAAGTGAGAGAGAATGAAAAATGAAAACATCCTTCCATCTGAAAATCAAGGGAGCCAGGCAGAATATTGTTGGCCAGTTGCAACCTATTAGATGCAGCCACTGTTTGTGTATTCTAACAGCCATGGGTGCTGGCTATCAGAATATGAATCTAATAGGTAGGAGTACCACCATAACAAGTGGGGTAGCATTTGTACAGCTCTCTGACTCAACGAAAAATAAGGTGTGGGTGTCAACCTAAAGAATCCAAGAAGAAAAACAAAGCAGCTGTGGAGAACAGACTACCAAAGCAGATAATGAATCAACAATGCAAAGTAGTTTTTATGAAACAGTATAACAGGAGACTCTGTGGGGGCGAGGGGGGACACAGGAGACTCTGTGGGAGGGAAGGGGGGGTTTGGAGAATTTGTGGCAGGGGGAACACAGGAGACTCTGTGGGAGGGGGGGGGCTTAGGAGACACTGTGGGAAAGGGGGGGGGGGTTGGAGAATTTGTGGGAGGGGGAACACAGGAGACTCTGTGGGAGGGGGGCTTAGGAGACACTGTGGGAAGGGGGTTTAGGAGACACTGTAGGAGGGGGGGTAGTAAACTACCATGGGGGGGGAATTTTGATGAGAAAAGGACAGAGAACACTGCTTCAGGGGATGGGGAGGCAGAGGACACTGGTATGGGGGCAGGGTAAAAGCCAATAGGTTGTCACCTGGGTGCGGCAATCCGGATTGTCTTTTATATGGCGTTTTATTAGGTGGTTAGGTAGGATATTCACGACTGGAAGATATAATCTTTTTTTATCTGTGATCATTAATAAAGATTTGTTATACTGTTTCATATAAGCTACTTTGCATGGGTGATTAATTACCTACTTTGGCAATCTGTTCTCCACAGCTGCTTTGTTTTTCTTATCAGAATACAAAAGCCTGCAGGAGAGATTTTTCCATCAGTGCTGCTTAGCGTGGATGAAGGAATGAATAGAATTTTCAAGCTCAGACCGTAGAGCTGAACAACAGAAATCTTACAGTGTGTGCCAGCTTAACTTTGGAGACATGTCCTCTTACCTGTTGTGTCTATGGGACAGAAAGTGAAAGTAATCTTACTAAGGGAACACAGACCGTAAAGAAAAAAAAAACCTTCTAGGAGGTACAGGTGAAAGGCCCTGGATACAAACATTGCGCTGGATTCCAGTTTCATGCAAACATACTATAATCAAGGCGTATAATCTCTCTAATGAGGCTGTACCAAATTGTCACCAAGGAACATGTCAGACAGAACCCTCAAAGACAAGGAAGAAGTTCCAAACAATTTGATTGAGGCCAGAGCATTATGTGGCCTCCAAATGCATCTGCAATCAGGGCTTTGGTAACTAATACAAGGTATAAAGAAAGAGGACTCCTAAAGTGGTAGTAAACTTGCTTTAAAAAAAAAACAAAACAAACAACATGGGCTCCGGGTGCTTTAAGCCATAATGTGCTATTATGCTCTGAATACTAGCAGATTATGGCATATTTGCCCTATAATGAAGCCCTCCAGCAGCGCGCTGTCACCGTTCACAGGGCTTCCGTCTTCACCCAGTTGCCTGAATGACCGAGGCACAATGACGTGACTCCCGTACATGCGTGCAGGAGTCACGGTCACGGCACAGAGCTCTGAAGGGACGGCATGAGTATGCAATCTCTTCAGAGCGCATGCAACAGTGATGTCACCAGCTGCATCCAGTGTGAATATCTTCTAAACACCGCACGTTTAAGAGATATTCACTGTACCTACAGGTAAGCCTTATTATAGACTTACCTGTAAGAACAGGTTCAAAAGCACAGTTTACTACTGCTTTAATTGTTAGAAACAACTTGACAAGCTTTTACATTCTGGTGTAAACACTCTCTGGGGCATTCAATAGAGTCTTAGTAACACTTATGGCCTGTAACAGATTCAAAAATCTTTGCTGCCCATTCTGGTAGCTTTACCAACACATCTGTTTACAGGAGGTACAGGGATTTGTCGCCCACACTAACATTTGTAGTGTGGAGGCATGTTGGAATTCTAAAGAGTACCTTAGATTGTATGCCTCTTGAGGGTTAAGGACTGATATGAATATACAATATATATGTAAAGCGCTGCGTAAATTGACGGCACTATATAAGTACCTGTAATAAATAAATAAAATATAAAGAGAGTGCCCATTTTCAAATTTTACGTGTCATTTGATACAATATGCACTATCATTTAGATGTCCTCTTGCTTCATAATCTCTGCAATTACCAAAGTGCTAATGAAAGGTGATTTGGAAGCTCCTAAAATGCAATGGCTTGTATCATAGGAAGAAAAAAAAAACCCTTTTTGATTTTTAATAGCTGGTCGCTCCATCCTTTGTTGGATACATCTGACAGGGATTTTAACCATGCCTTGGTTTTAGAAGCATTTTAAACGCTTGTGAAATGCTTGCTGATAACAACTTAAAATGCCTGCTAGCGACTTAGTATTTTATTAGTTTTTCCTTCCTTGTCAGTGGATGATGAGTAAAAACACAAAACACACAAAGCAAAGCATGCATCCCATAGCAAGCAAACATTTTTTTTTTTCTCCTACATTTGACTTTTTGACAATTGAATTTCTACATTTGAATTTTAACTAATTCCACAAACCTTGTTCTCCTTGTATCTGCTGAGATCGGCTATGCAATATTCTTTAAATAATTTATCGTAATATTTCTTTGCAAGTTTCTTCTCCCTGTCAGCACAGAATACAGAAATTTCCTTTATTTCGCTGAGATACGACAATTTTCCCATCCGCTTTTGCATTGAAAATACATTTATATGGCATTAACGTTGTACAGGAAAAACGTTAAGTACGAAAAATCATGAATTTTTAATGAAAGCGATTAGATTTCTGTCTTTTTTTTTTTAAGTCTAGGATGCAGTATGTTCTGTTGGGTCAGCATGAAAAAAAATTAAACCCAATCTTTTCCTTTTAGTTAACTGAAAAAAGAATTGTTGACTAAGTTGATTGAATTACTCCTGCTGTGTATTGGATCAAATATGGATTCTGGTCAAAATGATGACAAATAGGAAGGGGCGGGGGTTGTCACAGTGGCCCAAGCTGCTGTTAAGCCCCAAAGAAACAAGAATATACTGTTCAGCTTCTAAACATGGGCTTCTAGGCTTAGATCAAAATTAAAATTCAAGGATAACATGCAGCAAAATAATATTACATCCCAATATAATAAAATTATTTAAAAAAAACAAATAGAAATAGAAATTTAGTCACATGACGTTAGACTTCAAAGCTGAAGACTTGTCATAGGTACCAGTCACTTTAACAATGGCTGACTTATATCCGTACAGTATGTGTGTATAGTTGTTTAATAAAGATAATTACATCAGAAACTAAAACCACTCACTGGTCTCTGCTTATCTTCATACATTTTGGGGTTTTTTTGTTTTTGTTTTTTTTAACTATGTGCCTTTTGCTGTGATCCAATGTACCACTGTGGGTGTATTCTTGAGATTAAAAGACAGTAGGTAAAATGCAACTCCTTTTCCTGTGCTAAATATATAGTTGCCTTTAGTCTTGTTTACAACACTAGGAAGCAAAAGAATGGTCTACAGGTAACAACATATATGAAATTCCCAGAAGACATATATAGCCCTGTCGGCCCAGGTAATATGCTCATCTCTCTTTTTAGTGAAGCATACAATATATGCAATAGATTAGGTACTAGTCTTATTAATAGTGTCAGAAAAGGAAATGTATAAACTGGTGTTTCTAACAGCAAGTAAGAATAAGTTTCTACATTTACTCCACGTCATTGAGGGACAATGTTCTGCAACGACTGCAACACTGTTGCAGTTACCGCAACACTGGACACGTACATAAAATATTTTGTGTTTAGCTGCCATAGAGAAGTCAGACATAGTGTTTGAAATGTCATGCAACACTACATGAGTCTATGCTAGCTAGTCACTCTTATCTGCTTGCTTCAGTACACTACGACCAGGAACACATATGGACCTCTGACTCTTCTCGCACTACACGATTTGAATATTTCTTGCAGGTCTGTGACCCAAAGTAGTGAAGCCATAGGATCAGGATAAAAAGGTAGGCCAGTAAAATTATCAGGTCAGAAATAGTAGCCTGCACACATCTCTCACAAAAGGTTTACTTTAGGTATTTTGGGACTGTGCATTCTCTGCACTCACATTCTGTTCAGTGCAGGGTAAACAGACCTTTGCAACCAAACAATATACAGGGCTATGTTAATGTCCCTGGTGGCACATGAGTGTTGATTAGAGAAGAGACCATGATGAGAAATGTCAGTGCACGCAATAGTCAGAGAAATATAAAAGTACACACTCTCTCCAAATACTCAGAAAATCTATGTCTGGTTCTCACCCCGGATAAACACATGTTGCGGCCAGTATATTTTTAGACATCTATATTTTAACACTGACATTAGGGTTAATTTACCAAGTCATTTCCTCTTCATCTTCCTCCTGCCAAAGGAATCTGTGGTTTTCTCGAATGACATCCAGGTCTGTTTTACGGTCTCCTCTGCCAACAGAAAGGGCACATCATGAACAAAGCAGCCAAAACTATTATCCTCTGCAAACACCACTAATAGAGTACTTATAAGAGCCCATACATATCCATTTATGGTACAAAGAGTGCAGATCAGAATACAGGACTAAAAGGTTAAACTGTCTGCAGGGTATCGTTTGACCTTTTATCAAAAGCTACCGTGTCACCAGGTGACACACTGCAGAATGACTATATAATTAGAATGTATAAAAGTAGCACCCATTCAAGCTCCTATTAGCTTGCTAATTCAGTGCTCCATGTGCCAATAAGTCTCTTCAACCTCCGACCCTTCTGGGAGTGTCAGGGGCATTCTTAACTAGAGATAAGCTTGAGCATCCTCTGAACCAATCCCTAGTCAAATTCTAAACTTGCTCTCTTTTTCTATTAATCGGTCATTTCCGTCCCACAGCTCACTGAAACAAAGGGGCAGGCTGCAGGGTGAGACTCACCTGGCCCGCAGTTCATTGGAGTTAAAAGAGAAAAGCAAGTTCGGCTGTAGATGAGTTTGGAGGATGTCTAAGCGCAGCTCTATTCTCCACAGCAGCAGCTCCTCCAACCCATGATGTAAAATTTCTGGAAATTTTGAAGCCATGGGAAAAAAAAGTTTTACATAAAGTCTCCGAGATACTTTGAGTCTTTTGTGTTACATAATTTGAATATTGTGTCATAAATATATTATCGTTGGAAAATAACATATTCCACACTTTTTTTCCCCAATGTTTCCTGGGAAAAAAAACAAAAAAAGTTTTTTTCCAAATGTTTCAGTTTTTTTTTCCCAGCCCTTTCCTTCTCTACTCCAACCCTCTGCCTCAGACATAACTTAGGCTGTTGGCCCCTGCCTGGGGAGGCCTTGTGCTTTGTAGAGCAGAGCTTGAGTGTAGAGGCTGTCCCAATGATCAGAGTGTAAACAAATTCAGTGCTTAACACAAGCAAAGATTTCAACTTTTGTGTGCCACAGCGTACAAACATACTACTTTCATACATAATGATATATTCAACCTGCAATGTGTCAAAAAGTATTTCAATTTGGTTGCTCACTTGGAGCTTAACCCAAATATGCGAGGCAGTGTAGCTATGAACGTTTATACTGTATATAGTGGTTACATAAATTAGTGGACTTACTTTGGAAGTTTGAAGTCTTCTAGTTTACCTCCATAATACAATATGTAATCATTGACAAACTTTTGATGTCTGGCAAACTGCAATGTTTGTAGTTAACTTAAATAACAAATTTTTAATTGAATTTATCTGGGAGAAAATAGCACAACATTGAAGTAAGCAACACATAAATAAATAGAGATGATCCATGAATGTTCTAGAAGCTGGATTACTCTTTATGCTATAAAAAAACTAACAAATATATATGTATACATGCCCATTGGGAACTATAAACTAGCTGATCAGCTTTCCATTTCAAGGTATACCGATTTATGCATAGAGTCAAAAAGTCTCAGAATGCATTGGACATGGCTATAAATTACCTGAGCACACAAACACTGTCCAAAAAAGTATGGGATTTGCAACAATACAAATAACATAGGTATTAGACTGGATTTTGGTGTGGATTACTATGGAATAATTTAAAACCAGTGATTTTAATTAAACAAATGCTGCGCCCATGGAGTATTTACCTGATGCAGGGCTCGTGCTCATGGAAAAGAATTGGCTGCTCCCATGATGCTTTAGGCCCCATTCACACTTGCGAATGGGGCCATTTGTGATCACCCGTGGGAGACTTAGTTGGGTTTCTTGCGACTAGCTGTGGACATGAAGCACCGTTAAAACCAAAGGAAGCCTGACAACACCTTCAAATATTGTCAGGTGTTTGCATGTAATTGCTCATGCAGCAATAACCTGCACATGATCGGCCATGGACGCAGACTGGTTATCCCTGGACGCGCATGCAGCAGTAACTTGTGTATGATCAGCCTGGAACAATTATCTCTGATGATCAGCCTTGGACACAGTTTTTCTGCATCCAGGGATGATCGTCCACAGATTATCACTGCATGAACGATTACGTGCACACATTAATACACACCAATATTTGAAGGTGCTGTCAGGCTCCCATTGCTTTTGTTAGGGCTTCATGCCCACAGCTAATCGCAGATAATCTGCCTGAGTCTCCCACAGGTGATCGCAAGTGATCCTATCTGCAAGTGTGAATGGGTCCTTAAGTGTATCATTATATACTGTAAGTAGTATATTTCAATGTGTATTAAATGCAGCTCAGTTATTTTTTGTTCTTTAAGGTAATCAATTTAAACTGCTTTGCAGAGATCTGTTTTCACTTTGGCATGTACAAGTCTATTTCTCTTGATTAGTGGAAAAATAAATGAAAGCAAAAAAAAAAATCAAATCCATTGTGATTCAAACTTTTTATGACAATAAAAAATGAAAACCTCTATGAGGGTGAATACTTTTTACAAGAAGTTTACATTTTGTGGTACATTAGGCTTTGTGATATCTAACACATTGTTGATTATATATTACACAGGTTTTTTCGCACCAATAAAATAATTGACCTCTCACCTTACAGTGAATCTATGCCTTACCTATACAGAAGAAAGAAATCCGTTCACTTTAATTTAGCCCTCCTCATATACAACATTCACCTACCTTCCTTTTGTACCCTTGCCACACAGTTCACCCCCTCAGGAGCTAAAGATAAACCCACATAAGAGAAGTTGTTGAGCTATAGCACACACAGGGCTGCACGTCAATGCTGACAATTTACTGAGTGAGCAAAGCACAGATTTATTTTAAAGTGTTACTAAACCCACAACAATAAAATCAGTCTGTATATGCAGTAACGCATGCTTCTTATACTCACTGTGGAACCTAAGGAGTTACTCTTGTTGAAATGTCTACCTGATACAAACTGAATCTGTAGTAACATGCACATGCTCAGTTTGGTGTGTGTTGCTAGACAGGTTTTTTTTTTTTCTTGGGAGGGTGCATGTGATCAGCACAGGGCCAATCAGCACTGTCCAGAGGTTCAGGGGTCATGCAGCCTCCTAGAGCAGAAAGAAAACTTCTCCTACAAGCTTTAACCAGTGGTCAGCTGAAGTCTCTAGAATGCTGATGAGAAAAGGTATTTAGCAGTTTATATTTACTAAAATATTTGCACTTCCATGTTCTGTGTACTGTGGAAGACCAGATATAGTGAATGCAGGGTCCTGGGTTTAGTAACACTTTAACCCGTAGACTGACCCTGAACTTGAAAACCTAATGTAACCCCTAAAAGTGACCCGCAACATTTTACCTCCCCCTAACACTTGAGCCGCAGGCCGAATAAAAGGAAAATCAATAGAATCTCTCATTTACGATAACAGCGTAAATGGAGGAATCTCCGTTGCTGGCAATTGTATTCAGACAGCTGTAGCTGCCCTAATGCAGTGGTGTAGTTGAACAATGACTGCATGTGATAGGATGTGGTCACTGTCTGATCACAAATTTTCCACCCAGCTCAGTTAAATTTGTAGGTTTTTAGTCTGTAGGGCTTCTCAATTTAGAAAAAGACAGAAAGCTGGATGAACCTTCTGAACTTTATCATTTTTGCATTAAAATGTGAGATTTGCCAAAAGCAGCTTGTTTATTTGGATGTGAAGACGAAGAATGGTTATCCGATCCCAGGGCTTGGTGAGCTCATCATGATCTGGACAACATTATTTAATAACAGGATATGATGACATCTTTATTTTACAAATCAGGAACACATTTTATGGCTATATTTACATTTCATATTGCTAAAAAAAAATAAAAACTGCTTTCAGATTTCTTCCAACTGACATCAAAACTCAAACCCTAATGAAAAATAGGTTATTATTGGCCTACATATGCAGACATAAAAACTACCACGTCAGGGGATTTGTTGGAAATGAATAGTAATAAAAAGAGTTTAGGTTCATGGGAGATTGCAGGAACTGAATACTAAATGTTTATAGTGCCACCCTAATGTCAGGGTCTCAATTCCCTGCAAATCATAAAGATTGAATTAAGGAAGATAAAGCTGTTAAGCAGAACAAGTGATCAAACTAAGCATCAAATTACTAATGCTATCCAGCAAATGCAGCATTAATACAGTGTATGTAAAGGCAATGTTTTTATGCCTAAGCTCCACGGGCAGGGCAAAACATGTTGGTGGGCTTGCTCTGGTTGGAGTTAGGCTGAGGCTGCTGGGGTTCCATGGTGTGCGGTGGCTAAGATTATGCTCCTTGTTCTCTGGAACATTTTGTTAGTGTTGGATATTATGGCAGGATTGCTATTACTATACTATCAATACTTTTCAGCACTGAAAAAAAACCCCATAACCCCAATACACAAACATACACGTGTTAATGCATTCATTTTACTGTCAAACATTTTCTCAGAAGATTCTACAGCATTTTGTTACTGTTCATTATAGTAAAAAAAAATTTTCTCTAAATTCCTAAAATGTCTACAGGCATGCAGTTTGTTCTCTCTACATCCTAAATAAGGCTTCCCAGAATAAATAACAATTACATTTCACGTCAAAACACCACCAGCGGAGGGTTTAATGATGGCGCTGGAACTAACAATTATTTGACTGGATGTTACAGCAGACAAAGGATACAGCATCCATTGATATTAGATGAAATCGCCAATTTCGCGCCTCCTCCCTGTTTGGATGAAAAGCAGAAAACATGTTAGTTTGTACAGTGCAGGTTATAATTACAGCATTAAATAAAGATAATTCTATGGTGTTCTGTACCTGTCACATTCCTCTGCTGCAACCCTCTTGTGTGCCACCTTCCCATGTCTCTCTTTCTGGAATGGCTTCTTAATCAAAGCTTCATCTTCTTTACTGCTATAATGGCACAAACAGGGAAAGGTTAGTACTGAATGATTTAGGGGCAAAGGCTAACATGTAAAAAATAAATAAAATAAAAACCTGCCATGGCACTGGACAGATATTATATATTATAATGATATATTATAGACCACAGAAAAGTTGTGTATAGAAGAATACGATTTTTCCTTTCTTTAAGCCTAGCCACAGGTGGAAAGACATCTTCCTATCCTATGTATGCACTGGAACATGTCCCACTTTCTTGTGCAACTCGCTTGAAAAAGGGTACTGACAAATCCAAAGATTAATAGCTGGAAAATGCCTAAATAACAGAGTGATTCCCATTTTGAAAGTGCTGATTATTTCCTCCAGGGGTAATGCTAAGACGGCACCATTCTCTCTTTGGACCATTGTCTTGGGCTGTTTATTAAAATTTAAAATTACCAGTAAACATTATCTGGGAAAAAAACAAAACTCAATTAACATAGCCACAGGCATGGGAGATCACTGGCCTGCCTACTGTCATGCACAATTTTGCTGGACTCTAACACTGAGTAATATTGAACAGTAATATCCCACGTACACTGACCATCAGTGTAAGGAACAATTTTACCCTGATCTTAAAGGGGACACGCTCTACCAAATAATAGTGTAAAGGGACACAGGTGGGGGGGGGGGGGGATTTACACAGACTAGTTTTATTTCACACAGTTATGTACCAATAAGAGCCAATCCAGTGCAACATCCATATCTTTATACCACAGTAAACCTCAATTTACATTTTGACTTTACAGATAATATTCAGGGATAAATACAGATATAAAACATCACTAGATTTTTTTGTATGATACGAAAAATACAAACACAAGACATTAAAAGGTTAGTGCTGATATATTATTGTAGTCTTTGTACATTTAATTTAATTCCATACGGTATGGCTAACCCCATTGCCCAAATATATATATATACAGTTACATCTTTTTATCATAACTATACAATCTACTGTATGAGTAACAAATATGACAACTGGTAGACTGGTGTCCCCTCTGACACATTTTGCAGATTTAATCTCACTTCTTCAAGAGGAAATGACAGTTTCGTAGTGCCAAGTGTACATACTATATATCATAAATTAACTTTCTTTAAAAACCACTACCCCAAGAGGACAAGTGTATATACTGTAGATGCAGGACAAGTGTATATACTGTAGATGCAGATGGTGGCTAAAGATTTCGCACAGACGTGGTATGTACCCTTAGTGGTTACTAGGCTATACCCTAGTCTTGTTTCATTACTTTAGTGACTGAAAGGTTGGGTCTACTCCTATAGCCACTATTCTATGGAGGACAGTGCAAACCAAGTTCCGGGGGTATAAGGACCATTCACGTCTACAGCAATCTGAAAAGCATCCCATAATACTCCATTGGAAATAAAAGAGGAGTCCTTCAGCCCTCATATGGAAACTTATAAATTGGGGTTTAGTTTGGTATTTTCAGACAAACAGTCATTATAATTTGTTTCATGATTTTTATCATAATATAACTTTTTCATATAGAGTTACCATTGTACATATTGGTGGCAAAAAAAGAGAATGCCGCCCTTACAGACAGTTAAAAAGATTACTGATGTCATTGCACAGGCTCTGCCAGAGGATATTGGTCCCAGAACTATGCAGACACCATCCAATGGGAAGCCAAATTGGCCATAGCTCAAGTAACCCCTAAGAAACCTCTGGAAGAACCCTAGCATTCCACAGAACCCTTGTTTGAGAATAGCTGCTGTAAGGTGCAAAGGTTTAGAAAGGCTGGATTAGATAATCAAATGAGCAGCACACAAGCTTTGATGGCCTCCTTTCATTCTGGCGGATACCAGCCTTCAAGCTACATCTTCAAATCTGGTATTTTCTTTCCATAATTAGAAAGCAGATTTTAATTTTCTGACTGAATAAACATATTAATGTAATTGACGGACACAATAAGCAAAAATTATTTATGAGGCTTTCAGAGAAGCGAGCTGAAAGATCTCCAAGGTGCATTAGAAACCACAAACCTAATTATGAAATCTTCAGGGACCTGACGCCACAAAAGGTCCAAATCACATTCATGTATACAGTCTGTCCTTAAAGGGACCACTGTCCTCTCCTCCTTTCTGGTCTTTTTCATTTTCCAAGAATACATTTTTCAAAGTGTGGTAATTATAGTGTTATCAAGTCAGCTTACCATACTATCCATTGTGTACTCTTAAAGCATTTTTTAAACCCGTATCCAATAATACACTATATTGCCAAAAGTATTGGGATGCCTGCCTTTACACGCGCATGAACATTAATGGCATCCCAGTCTTAGTCTGTAGGGTTCAATATTGAGTTGGCCCACCCTTTGCAGCTAAAATTATTATTATTATACAGGATTTATATAGCGCCAACAGTTTGCTCAGCGCTTTACAATATAACGGGAGACAATACAGCAACAGTACAGTTCAATACAAGGGTGATTAGGAGGGCCCTGCTCCTCTGAGCTTACAATCTAGGAGATTCAGCTATAAGCTATTCAACTCTTCTGGAAAGGCTGTCCACAAGGTTTAGAAGTGTGTCTATGGGAATGTTTGACAATTCTTCCAGACGTACAGTTGCAAGAAAAAGTATGTGAACCCTTTGGGATTACGTGGAGTTTTGCATGAATTGGGCATAAAATGTGCTCTGAACGTCATCTAAGGCGCAACAATAGAAGAACACAGTCTGCTGAACATAAAACTACACAAACATTAGATGTTGCCATAGTTTAATTGCACATAACATGTAAACATTCACAGTGCAGGGAGGAAAAAGTATGTGAGGCCCTAGCTTAATGACTTCTCCCAGAGCTAATTGGAGCCAGCAGTGAGGCAACCTTGACTCCAATCAGTGTGATGATATTGGATGTGTTGCTGACAGATGTCATGCCCTTAAAAAACACACACCTGTTTTGGGTTTGCTGGTTTCAAGAAGCACTGTCTGATGTGAACCATGCCTTGCAGAAAAGAGCTCTCAGAAGACCTACGATCAAGAATTGTTGACTTGCATGAAGCTGGAAAGGGTTACAAAAGTATCTCCAAAAGCCTTGATGTTCATGTGCCCACGGTAAGACAGACTGTCTACAAATGGAGAAAGTTTAGCACTGTTGCTACTCTCCCTAGGAGCGGTCATCCCGTAACAATGACTGCAAGAGCACAGCGCAGAATGCTGCATGAGGTAAAGAAGAATCCCAGAGTGTCAGCTAAAGACCTACAGAAATCTCTGGCACATGCTAATATTTTTGTTGACACATCTACAATAAGGAAAACATTAAACAAGAATGGAGTACATGGGAGGACACCACGGAGGAAGCCATTGCTGTCCAAAAAGAATATTGCAGCATGTTTGAAGTTTGCAAAAGAGCACCTGGATGTTCCACAGCACTACTGGCAAAATATACTGTGGACAGATGAAACCAAGATTGAGTTGTTTGGGAAGAACACACAACACTATGTGTGGAGAAAAAAAAGGCACAGCACACCAACATCAAAACCTCATCCCCACTGTAAAACATGGCGGAGGGAGCATCATGGTTTGGGGCTGCTTTGCTGCCTCTGGTCCTGGATGGACTGTTGTCATTGATGGGAAAATGAATTCCAGAGTTTATCAAGACATTTTGCAGGAAAACGTACGACCATCTGTCCACCAACTGAAGCTCCACAGAGGATGGGTGATGCAACAGGACAATGACCCAAAGCATACAAGTAATTCAACAAAACAATGGCTGCAACAGCACAGAATACGCCTTCTGGAGTGGCCCAGTTAGAGTCCTGACCTCAACCCGATTGAAATGCTGTGGCATGACCTTAAGAGAGCGATTCACACCAGACATCCCAAGAATATTGCTACACTGAAACAGTTTTGTGAAGAGGAGTGGTCCAAAATTACTCCAGATCGTTGTGCAGGTCTGATCTGCAACTACAGGAAACGTTTGGTTGAGGTTATTGCTGCCAAAGGAGGGTCAACCAGTTATTAAGTCCAAAGGTTCACATACTTTTTCCTCCCTGCACTGTGAATGTTTACATGTTATGTGCAATTAAACCATGGCAACATCTAATGTTTGTGTAGTATTATGTTCAGCAGACTGTGTTCTTCTATTGTTGTGACTTAGATGACGTTCAGAGCACATTTTATGCCCAATTCATGCAAAACTCCACGTAATCCCAAGGGGTTCACATACTTTTTCTTGCAACTGTACATTAGTGATGTCAGTCGAGAAGACCTGGCTCACAGTCTTCACTCTAATTAATCCCAAAGGTGTTCTATTGGGTCAGGACTCTGTGCAGGTCAGTCCAGTTCCTCCACCCCAAAGGTGCTCATCCATGTCTTTATGGGCCTTGCTTTGTGCACTGGTGCGCAGTCATGTTGGAAGGGCCCATCCCCAAACTGTTCCCACAAAGTTGGGAGCATGAAATTGTCTTGGTAAGCTGGCGCCTTAAGAGTTCCCTGGAACTAAGGGGCCAAGCCCAACCCCACCAAACCTTCTACTTGGCTTGATTTTATACACCTGAATCCAATGATTTGGAGGGGTGTCCCAATACCTTTGGCAATATAGTGTATGTGCTTACAGCAGTGGTGTCCAACTGTTCAATATTCCTACACAGATTAGACAATAAGATCTATTCTCTACCAGGCGTGAAAGAAATGGTAAACTCTGTATATACACATGTATTTAATTGTCTATCTTTGTCTTGTTTTCTCCACTGCAGCCAAAATCCTTGGCATCATAATAACTCTTCTGCCACATAATCACATTCCTTAGACTCTGATAAGAGACTAGCCTGCACTGTTTCAGTTACTTCCCTTGTCATCCTGAGAGAGGTTCACATCAGAATCACACAGGAGCTCACAGGTTACATTTGCAGGGGTGAAAATGGAACCTCTAACAACCAAGTGATAAACATACACCATAAAGTAAAGACATATAAAGATATCATCCAGCAATAAGAAAAAAAGGACCTCTCAATGACCCTGACATCATATTCCTACCAAGCAATGTAAACACCACAGTGTGCAAATACAGAAATCTTATACATAACAATATTTCTGTATTTGCACACTGCTGTTGTTTATATACACAAGCACTATATGTATACCCATACACGGGTGACGTGATACAAAGAATGCAAATACACAATTTGTTTCAAATAATATTGCAGAGACATGCGACTCTTTTCTGGATGAATGCACAAGCGTAACTCACAATCAAACTGTGGCCCTCATGCTGGATTTGGTCTTTTGCTTGCCTTTATACAGCCCTTTGGGCACTACTGCTGCCATTGACGCAAGGCGCTATTCTTCCCACTGACACCAATTATGAGGCACCATTCATTTTAGAGAACCCAACAGTGAGGCAAAATTCCTCCCATTGACACCAAGGACCCCGTATGATTCCTACCAATGACATCAACATTGGGGCACTATTCCTCCCACTGACACTAACAAACAATGGGGCACTATTCCTCTCAGGGACACCAACAATGGGGCACCATTCTTCTTACTGACATCAACCATGTGGCAAAATTCCTCTCACTGATTGAAAGTGATAAAACACTTTTTCTTCCACTAACACAAAAGATGGGGCACTATTCCTCCCCTTGACATCAGTGATGGGGCACCATTCCTTTCAATGACACAAAAGATTGGGCACTATTCTTCCTACTAACACCAACGATGGGGCACTATTACGTTCACAAGAACCAATGATGGGGCATAATTCTTCCCAGTAACACCAATGATAAGGCACTATTCCTCCTTCTACTGACCACAGATGCTATAAAATCTTTTTACACCTACTGATGACCAAGCCTGAGAAATTGTCCATTTGCTGGGGTATTTTCTACTCCTACTGGTCACAATCTGGCCCCCCTAAAGTCTGAAGGACAGTGAACTGCTTAGAAAGTTTGGAGACCCCCTGGACCAGTACATCCAGCTCATCTGGACATACGTGCATGGGATTGCCGAGTCAAGCAATAAAAAAAAGAGCTCTGCGCTTAGATTCAAACTAAAATGGCGACATATTATTATTATTATTATACAGGATTTATATAGCGCCAACAGTTTTCTCAGCGCTTTACAATATAACGGGAGACAGTACAGCAACAATACAGTTCAATACAAGAGGGATAGGATGGCCCTGCTCCTAGGAGCTTACAATCTCTATGTTATGTACTGTGACCAGGTCAAGAGTCATTGCAGCAGAATTTTAACCACGTGCTAGATTATGTTAAGATGTGCAACAAACACATTCCATGTCTTTTATGAACAGAGGTCAATGATGTCTAGATTCCCAGACCAAATTCAGCAACATTGGTAAACTTTACTCATTCACCCAAGCAGCATTGGCTAATAACTTCATGTGTTTTGATTTTAGTTTAAACCAATATGCTGCAATGGTGTGCACTGAAAAAAAAAGCATATTAAATTTTTGTTCAGCAGGTCTGATGCACTGCAGTGCATAGTATTACCAATGAAAAAAAAAACGCACTGCAGAACAGCACAGCACAATTCAAAACGCATAGCGGCAGACGTGTTACCATGACTAATTTGCCAACCAAAACAATTCTTACCTTTCTTTCTACACAGCATGGATGCTGCGGCTGTCTGAAGACGAGAACTGAATGAGAGAAATCTATGAATGTATGGCCAGCCTTAGGCCTAGTTCACATGTCTCTGCTTTTAAATGTTTATCTAAAGATCAATGGGGTTGACTAACTAAAGACAAATAAACTCTTCATGTTGCAAGGGAAGTTGCATTTTGGAGGGGAATTATGCCCAGAGCTTATTGAATTAGTTGAAGCTTCATCATTCAATCATGTGCAAGCAAAAATGCTTTTTTTTTCCCCTTGCACATGGTTAGGTATTCTTTGCAAAGTGAAATTTCCCCACATTCACTAAGCTCTGGGGAAAATTCCCTTGCAAAGTTTGGATGTTGCAGGCTACAACTCTTTCAGAGTCACCGACAGAGAACAAGCATGCAGCAAGTGAGCATGAAGTCAAAGCTCTGATCTACATTCTTCTTCTGGGTCAACAATTTAGAAAGCATAGAAGCTGAATGATGCGCAGAATAAGCCCAGCAGCTAGCATTTTTACAAAAGATTAGGATTTAACCCATAAAAGCTAGTCAGGAATGTAATGTGTCAGGTTGCCATGGCAGCTCGCTTTTCCTTTCTGGCACATTTCATAAACGAGACTCATTGTACAGTCACAATAAATTATACCCATATGTTGTACTGAGCAGCTCTGAAAAAAACTAAGCAAAAATATTCTGTTTTTAATAGTGTACTCTTCCCTCTAAGTGATGACAGAATCCTGTGATGAATTATATGTGGATGAGAGATCTAATGAGTGATGCTGGGAACAGATGGAATAAAAGTCTGTATGGACTCAGCTCCAAATATTTAACACAAGCTGACAGTAAAACACAACTGAGGACCAAGCTAAACCCATTAGGCCTGTTTTTCATCTCTCATTTGTGTTACATGTTACCAAGGGATCCATTTATATAACCATATTAAATAAAGGCTTGGCTTCTTTAATCTTAATACAGAAAGATAGGTTTAGCCATCTCTCCATTTGCATTTGTAGTAAAGGAGGTGTTCAACAAACTCAGGTCCCCCCCCCCCCCCCCCATTCCTGTTTTCCTCTCCTCTTATGTTAGGAAAAATCTCTCAATTTCATGAAATTTCACACACTAACATGATGTGAATATAAGTTTGACTGAGAACAAGAGACATTGCTGTAAGCACATCTGCTTTTCTATACAGGCATCTCTGCATACATCGCTAAGACATTATGTCACATCCGAAGCACTTTCATTCCATGGTTAGTAGATCGTCCGAAGTGGAGTATTCTGTTAAACTTTCCACTAAAGTCAAGAGGAAAAAAAAAACGGAAGTTTAACCCCAAAAGAGGCTGTTGAGTTGTGGAGGGAAAAAAAAAGAAGAACATTTAGAGGTAATACACTTCTGGAAACAAGCATTACCCAGCTCCATTCTTTTTTATTTTAGGGTCTATGAGACCTATCTTGACAAAAATATAAATAAGTGAAATAGCTTTTAACCTTTAAAGAAATATGAGATGTTAAAATATACACAGATGATCCTATACTACGACCTAAAATGAAGAACACAAAACAAAGTGAATTCCAAGTGGGGTGGAAGGGTTGCCTACACAACTGATCTCAAATGATCCTCTTAATCTGTGCCAGTGCCTGATATCTCTCTATCTGAAGATTAGAATTAAAAGTCCCTAAAACCCAATTGAACCCTCTTAAATTATTACTGTAATGCAGTCATATTGCATTTGCAGCAATAAACATGGCTCTTCTATTATTTTTTTTTATTTCCCCTGCAGTCCGACAGGCTCCAATGAACACTGTGTTAATCAACATCACTCCCCGAGTAGCGCTGCTGATTCGGCAGTGTTCAGGGAACCATGTGGGAGATCTAGGCTGGTTTTTTTTTCGGTGTGAGAGTCTATTTGCTGTTAGTCAAAGGGTTTTTAGTCTATTGTATTCCATGCAGCGAATTTACTCTGTTAATTTACTAGCCAAGTCTCTCTCTTTTCTGCAGACAAGAGTATCTCTACCTGCACTGAGACTCCCAGCAGAAGCCTTCAGACTGAAGAAATAATTCCAAATAAACAATAGACATCTTGGAACTTGTTACCGTCTTTTCTTTGCATTTCTGTCCAGTTCTTCATCCTCATCGCTAAAATCTGATTCGTAGTCTCGGTAGCCATGTGCCTGTATAAAAAAATAAATAATAAAATGTAAGCTTCTCAACTGTGACAGGTACCAGCTTCCCCCCTTTACAATGAGTAACTTCAAGGATAAATTTACACTTATGTCTTCCCATATACAGTGGATATAAAAAGCCTGCACAACCCTGTTAAAATGTCAGGTTTCTGTGATGTAAAAAATGAGACAAAGATAAATCATTTCAGAACTTTTTCCACTTTTAATGTAACCTATAAACTGTACAACTCAGTTGAACAACAAACTGAAATCTTTTAAGTGGAGGGAAGCAAAAATAAAAAACTAAAATAATATGGTTGCATAAGTGTGCACACCCTTAAACCAATACTTTGTTGAAGCACCTTTTGATTTGATTCCAGCACTCAGTCTTTTTGGGGATGAGTCTATCAGCATGGCACATCTTGACTTGGCAATATTTGCCCACTCTTCCTTGCAAAAACACTCCAAATCTGTCAGATTGCGAGGGCATCTCCTGTGCACAGCCCTCTTCAGATCACCCCACATATTTTCGATCGGATTCAGGTCTGGGCTCTGACTGGGCCATTCCAAAACTTTAATCTTCTTCTGGTGAAGCCATTCCTTTGTTGATTTGGATGTATGCTTTGGGTCGTTGTCATGCTGAAAGATGAAGTTCCTCTTCATGTTCAGCTTTCTAGCAGAAGCCTGAAGGTTTTGTGCCAATATTGACTGGTATTTGGAACTGTTCATAATTCCCTCTACCTTGACTAAGGCCCCAGATCCAGCTGAAGAAAAACAGCCCCAAAGCATGATTCTGCCACCACGCTTCATTGTAGGTATGGTGTTCTTTTGGTGATGTGCAGTGTTGTTTTTGCACTAAACATATCTTTTGGAATTACATTTGGAATAAAAGTTCAACCTTGGTTTCATCAGACCAGAACACATTTTCCCATATGCTTCTGGGAGACTTCAGATGTGTTTTTGCAAAATGTAGCCGGACTTGGATGTTTTCTTTGCAAGAAAAGGTTTCCATCTTGCCACTCTACCCCATAGCCCAGACATATGAATACAGGAGATTGTTGTCACATGTACCACACAGCCAGTACTTGCCAGATATTCCTGCAGCTCCTGCAATGTTGCTGTAGGCCTCTTTGTAGCCTCCCAAACCAGTTTTCTTCTTGTCTTTTCATAAATTTTAGAGGGACGTCCAGTTCTTGGTAATGTCATGTCACCATATTTCTCCACTTGATGATGACTGTCTTCTCTGTGTTCCATGGTATATCTAATGCCTTGGAAATTCTTTGTACCCTTCTCTTGACTGGTATCTTTTAATAATGAGATCCCTCTGATGTTTTGTAAGCTTTCTGCAGACCATGGCTTTTGCTGTAGGATGTGACTAAGAAAATGTCAAGAAAGACCTAGAACAGCTGAACTTTATGTGGGTTTAATCATAGGCACCTTAAAAATGATGGCAGGTGTGTGCTGACTCCTATTTAACATGATTGTGAATGTAATTGCTTAATACTGAACAGGGTGGATTTGATTTAAATCACGATTTAAATCACTAGTCTTCTACATCGACTAATTCTTGCTGGTATAACTTTAATATGCAAGTAGCTGAAGATTTTTAGAATAACAACTTTTCATATTAGTTTTTTTATCCCCAGTTTAATAGGTTAATCATTCATATTTGGACAACTTTTCTGTTGTACTTAGGAAGGAGAAAAATAATCATTACCTTAATAATAACAATTTAAATAGATTTATTCAACTGAAACAATAACATTCCAGCATATGTTATTTGCTTAAACATCCATGTTTGTTAACTAATTTGGCTAAACAAAAATATATATATTTTAAGAAACTTAGACTGTCAGCCCCTTCCTCCTCACACTTAGTTTCACTTTCTTCTTTGTGCAGATCTTTTCCACTCCAAACAATCAGAAAAATATTGTTTCTATTCTATTCACTGAACTTCTTGAAACTTAGCACTGAAGGGGTTGATTCTGTATTCATAGGTTTGTAGAAGTTAGGATGAAGGTCTTTTTCTTAACTCTGTTCATGTTACAACATTTTTGCTGTGAAGAAGAGGCATGTGATCTGAGTCAAATTCAGTTTTGAGAACTGCAAAAGTAAACCAAACATCTGTGATAATATCTTGTAGGCAGAGAAACTGCCCAATAATCTTACAAAAACCTCTGGAAGAGCATGACATTGTGAATGGATTCATGGAATTTATTTACCAAAAAGATTAAACATATACAGCCTTATTCTACATAATTAAAAAACTAATCTTTATTTCATGATGGAATAACCTTTGGATGGTAATATATTTTCCTCAAAAATCATTTTATTCAAAAAAAATCTGATTTAAATAAAAAAAAATCGACTTAAATAAAAAAAATCCGATTAAAAAAAAAAAAATCCGATTTTTAAAAAAAAATCATTGATTTTTATCCACCATTATTTTAGTTTTTAATGTTTACTTCCCCCCTAAAAGATTTCAGCTTGTTGTTCTACTGAGCTGTACAGTTTATAGGTCACATTAAATGTGGAAAAAGTTCTGAAATGATTTATCTTTGTCTCATTTTTTTACATCACAGAAACCTGCCATTTTAACAGGGGTGTGTAGACTTTTTATATCCACTGTAGTGTATTAACACACTCGCACTAATGGGTGCTGTATTACGGCAGTCCTAGTACAGGGGGAAATAAAATGTGCAATCATAGTTTTTATAGTGCATCAGGCCAAGATGCATGGTGTAGGTGACCACCACTGTAAAGAGCATTGAGGTGTCATCACAACATACCACAGCTGCCCAGTTTTGACTTTTGTTATATCAGCACGGCTTGGGACCCAACCACCACATGCATGCATAGCTGCCTCATTAGCACCCAGCTTGTTTTACATGAGACACCTGAAGGAGGGAGAAGCTGGCATGGCCAGCAGGGACTGCCAGAAGAGGAGGAAAGTCACATTTCTGTGCAATAAAATAAACAATTTACCTTTAGTATCCCTTAAACTTTAAATTGAACATTGAAAACGTTCAATGCACTCTGCCTGTTCTGCCCTCATCAGTTACATTGTTCTCAGCTATCTCTGTAAACAGCAAAACACCCCCTGGAGATGAGAGAAGAATGGGGTACTTAGTACAGTGAGTGTCCTCAGCCTAAGACAGGTAGTGTATTATGTATTACTCCCTGGATCACTGGGTGAAAATGATGGGAACATGCCACTGTACCTAAGGATTGTAAGCTGTGACATCATGGGGTTTATATACTAAAGGCAAATAGACTGTGTACTTGAAAGTAGTTGCACTAATTTTCCCCAGAGCATAGTGAATGAGGTAAAGCTCTGATGATTTCCATGATCCAATCACATGCAAGCAAAAATGCATCTCATTTTACTTGCACCCAATTGGGTATTCAAAGTGAAGCTTCACAACATTCACTTCAAGTGCAGTCTATTTACCTTCAGTAAATCCTTCCCAATGTGTTTTTGTTCTTGTATTTATATACAATTTAAGGCACCAAAACATGGAGAAATGTACATATGATGGAGAGCTAGGCTGAATATGTGCAATGCTAGGATTTTCTGGTCCATCTGTAACAGTACAGAGACTTTTCAAAAATATTGCCACCATACACAAAAGCTTATACTACCATATATTTTATTTAGAGACAATTGCACACACATACATAAGTGATAAAAACATTAAAAGTGACAACTAAATGCATTGTACTTCGAATAAATAGATCATTGTAATGGTGTATTTTAACATGGCTATCTATATTATCAAGTTGAATGGGTTATAATTCATATCATGATTACATTACTGTGAGCTCATCAAGGAGATTTCCTTTTATGCTGTGATATATACAGTGCCTTGAAAAAGTATTCATACCCCTTGAAATTTTCCACATTTTGTCATGTTACAACTAAAAATGTAAATATATTTTATTGGGATTTTATGTGATAGAACAACACAAAGTGGCACATCATTGTAAAGTGGAAGGAAAATGATAAATGGTTTAAAAAAAAAGTGTGGCATGCATTTGTATTCAGCCCCCACCCCTAACTAAAATCTAGTGGAACCAATTGCCTTCAGAAGTCACCTAATTAGTAGAGTCCACCTGTGTGTAATTTAATCTCAGTATAAATACAGCTGTTCTGTGAAGCCCTCAGAGGTTTGCTAGAGAACATTAGTGAACAAACAGCATCATGAAGGCCGAGGAACACACAAGACAGGTCAGGGATAAAGTTGTGAAGTTTAAAGCAGGGTTAGGTTAGAAAAAAAATATCCCACGCTTTGAACATCTCATGGAGCACTGTTCAATCTATCTGCAGAGAATGTTGACACCATTTTTTTTTTTTTTTTTACAAACTAGATTCCCAGTGTATATTGTTTTCATTTAGGAAATTCCATTCATTTCAAAATGGAAAATTAAAAGCAAATGAAATTTTGAAAAACATATACAGGCGTGCCTTGTGAGCTGCTAGGATATACTATTAACCTAAAATGATTTCTTTACTAGTGAGCAGTTCTCACCTGGTCACACTCTCATATGTATGCGATTAAAACAGTTTCTACTCAAATGGTGCAGCGCTTCCACTATTTTCATACAATGTGTCTGCAAACTCAACCGCAATATCAATCCACTAAAACAAAATCAAATAGTGCTGCCTGTTTGCGAGCACCATGACATCATATAGTAAGCCCTGCCCCTACATGTTTCATCACAGGGTCACGCCCCACCCCTATGTGTTTCGACACAGGGTCACGTGATTTCCCCCTGATGAAGCCACGTGACCCTGTGACAAAAAACGTAGAGGCGGGGCTTACGTGATGACTTGCAAATAGCGGAGGATCGGTAATATATTGAGGAAAACACATTTATGTAAAGAAATAGTGCTGTAGACACACGCTGGCTATGTTTGGCACAGTATAGCCCCCTGATAATGTAAGTGGCATTCTGTATAAGTATTTGGGAGTGAAGAAATGATGTATAAATAATCAGTCTTCATGCAC